CATTTTTGAGCATGAAGAATGCTATTATAGAAATTCAAATAAATATACAGATAAACTTTTTTCAAATTATTTTTACTTATTATTAGTTTTTTTCTCAAGTTTTGATTATTAGAGTTGTGTTTTTACTCAATAAAATTGATTAATAATATTATAACAGACACAAGACAAATTTTCAGATGTAGATAGTTTTGACTTTTTTGAGCGCATAATTCACAGATTGGTCTAGTTTATATACTACTCTGTATGAATACAATAAAAAGTCTCGATAAAAACCATGACAATATAGATAGTGAGTTTTACTACCGTCTCAATCTTTTTTTGGTTTTCTGCATCATAGTATATGGATAAACATCTAAAAAAGTTTCAATCTGTGCAATAAAATAACTTGCTGAAGTCATACATCTATAGTTCAGGTGATGCTTGAGCCTCATCAGTTTATACATTCTGTCAACGATGTTTCTAACTAAGGAAATGTTTTTTTTAATAGTCACCAGTGGTGTATTAAGAAAAGGTTCGAATTCTTCTGAAGCCTTGATAAGAGATCACATATGCATCTACATAACTTCCAATAGTCTCTAGTTTCGAAATTTGACTTGTTTCACTTTTCTGTATTATACTACTGATAATCACTCAATCTAAGATGTTTTAAGTTCAATAACTTAAATTTTGAATTCTTCAAATCTATCGTTTTATTCTTGTCTCTTGAAAAAAAGAAAATTTTCTGCAATGTGATGAAAATAGAATTTCTACAGGCAGTTACATAAAGTTTCTGTAATTCAATTTGATAGCATAGTTATAGATACTCATTAACAGCATACGTTTAATCTTTCTAATATAAGGAATTATTACTCGATATGTAAAAGAAATCAACGTTAAATTATCGTAATGAGTGTAATTTAAAAAATAATAATTTAGAAGTTTTTTTCACGTTGAATACCGAAAAACTGTGTTTTTTCTTCGAAATAAATTGTTTTCTATGAAATAAAAATTTATTAACCTATCTCAATGTCTAAGCTTCTTAAAATCATATCAATCAAAACGAGATTTCAAAAATAATTTTTTCTATGGAAAATGTCAAATTATTTTATTGATATTTTTTTGTTTATTTAAGAACCTATATGACGACTATTATATTAAAGAAAAAAAAACGTATCAAATGTTTAGAATTAGATAATAATAATAATAATAATAATAATAATATTCATTTTTTGTTTTTATTATATTGATCAATAAGACGAACACATACTTGTAACATAGCTTTTTCACTTGCAGATATTACATGTTTATGACTATAAAATAACAAATAAACTTTTAGAGATTATAAATAAGAATTTTACTTTGAAATTGTATGTTTATATGAATCAATAGTTGAATCAAGTTCATGTATTAATTTTGAATAAGTTTCTAAATCCATTGTATTCATTTGTGCTAACTCATTTGCTTCAATTAATTCAATAAGACGATCACATATACGATTCCAATTTTCTATAGATATAAGAAAAAAAAAATCCGCCTTGATAGTTTTGTTTTGTTTCATTTTAAATATAATACCTTTATTTTCAT